ATAAATATATAAACTATTTTTAATAGTTTGTTTTCAGTTTTGATATTTTATATTATAAAAAATTGTAATTGAAAACATAGATGTGTAMAAAACTATATATGCGTATTGAGCAATGGCAACATTGTGCAAATGAAAAATGCTGAATTCTGCGTTTTTGCCACATTTTTCACTGGGCACACGTTTTGCCGATGAGGAAGGAAAAGGGAGGAAGGCAGTAGCGTTTTTGACTGTTCCTGCTATAATAAATGCGGTTGTAAAAAAGAAGGCCGAAACTCTTTTTTATTCGAAAACCATAACTCGCGCTCTTCTCACTCAACACTTAAACAATAATACAGTACTACAAAACATAGAAGACAGAACTGCTATCCAAAATACTTGTCTAGCTCTCTCAACAGATTCTCTTAGCTCAGAAACTGTTGCCGATATAGCTTTATAAAAAACTCTTACTATTAAATTTTTCTTTAATAGTTCTTCTCACCTAACACTCATTGATTCGTTATGGTACTTAAGATTCTGCAGTGGAATCTTAATGGTGACTACAACAATTATAATGAGCTCACTTTACTTCTAAAAGAAAATCTGTTTCATATAGTTCCTTTCCAATAAACTCATTTATTTAATAACCCACCAAACAGTATGGTACCGCCAAACTTTTCTATTTACACAAATAACGACATAGAGCGCGATACAATTGCTAAAAGGGGAGTAGCTCTATTAATCCATAACTCACTTGAACATTCTAATCTTAACATAAATATTATTCTATGTATTATGATATTAAATCCACCACTGCTTTCACAATAGTTAACGCTTATATATCGCCAACCGACAATTTAACAGAAGCCGATTTATCAAATCTTATTAACACTTCATCACATACTATTTTACTTCTTGGCGACTTTAACGGGTGGAGTCCTCTATGGGGTTCCCCTAATCATAACAAAAGAGGTAAAATCATTTCCAACTTCACACAAAACAATAATCTAATACTACTCAACGACAAATCGCCTACCCATTTTTCAACACGATCAACACTAACACACATTGATTTTAGCATCTGTAATCCGCCTCTCAATATTGATGCCACTTGGAAGATCTCCGAACAACCACATGTCAGCGATCATTTTCCCATCTTCATATACCTTTTTGGGCTTAATCGGTGTCAGAATATGAACCTCAATAGGGGGTGCAACCTAAAATTTGCTGATTTGGTATTATATAAAAAAACTATGGAGAGACTATTAGCCGACTTAAAATTCAACATTAACAATAGTAACCAGGCAGCAGCAGCTATGTATGCTACGAAAAATAAAAAAGTTGCTCGCTTGTTCATACCAATTAACAAACCGAGGTTTTGCAAACGCTCAAATTACTGGTGGAATTAGCAACTTACTTCCCTCAGGCTTCAGAAAGTGGATTTATGGAAAATTACTAAGCGTAATCCGACAAATGAAAACGTTTTAAAAAAGCTAATGCAAAATTTAAAAGAGAAGTTAAAATCTCAAAACGAACCGCATTTATAGAATTTACGAGGGATATTAATTATCAAACCAGGTCCCAAATTCTCTGGAGCAAAATAAATATCATCCATTGAAATTTCCCTTCAAAAAATATCCACGTAATTAAAAACTCCGAAAATTTAAGCTCTTCCACTCCAATAGAAATAGCACAGGTCTTTGCCAAAATCTGGTCAAACTATTCAAAAAATAGCTACTTTAGCGATTAATACGTAAATAGAAAAAATCGATATATTAATTCTGTCCATATTAATTACCACTTAAGTGAAAAAGCAAAGCAAATAGATCTTCCGTTCTCTACACTTCAACTTAATTCTTGCCTCTCTACACTGAAAGGTAAAACTTCAGGCCTAGACAAAATCAATTAGCCGCTTATTAAAAACCTTCCCCCCATTGGTAAAACTAAACAATGTCAACTATACAATATAATATTTACAAATAGCGTAGTTCCTCAATTTTGGAAAACAAGTCTCACTATCCCCATACCAAAACCCAATAAACCAAAAAACACCACTGAAGGTTATCGTCCAATTTCACAGATCATTATCAAAAGTAATGGAAAAAATGGTAGCAAGGAGATTAATGTGGTACCTCCTAAATAATAATCTACTTTCTAATCGACAAACAGCAATTAAGTCTGGCCGCGGTACAATTGATACTCTCTTACCTTAGATGAGGAAATATCAAATTCTCTCTCTAGTAAAAACCATTTTTCAAGTATTTCGATTGACATGGGAAAAGCTTTCGACCGAGTTGGTCTCCACACTATCACAGCACAATTAACCACTTGGAAACTCGGTCCAAAAATAATTAACTATATACGGCACTACCTTCTCAATCGAAAAATTCGCGTAAAAGTTAATGGTGTTATAAGTGAGCAATGTCCAATTGAAAACGGTATTCCACAAGGCTCTCTTTGTTCGTAACAATTTTCGTTATAGCCTTCGATCATTTAAGCCGTATAATAAATGAGTATAAATACTTTAAACATTTATTATATGCCAATGATCTTTATATCTTCAACATCGTGCGAAATTCATATACTTTTACTAACCAAATTAACACTCTTTTTAACAATATTTTAAGCTCGTGTCATATCAGTGGTACTAAAATCTGCACCTACACATATGTAACAAACGAAAGTGTAATAATATCTCATTAAGTTAAGTACACATGGAATGATCACATAACACAATTATGTTCATCACTTCATAATAGATTAAACGTAATCAAGTGCCTCAGGAATATCAAATTAGAAAGCAATTCCAATACACTCACTCACATAGTTAAATCAATAATTCTGTAAAAAATTGATATATTCAGCAAAACATCAAAAAGAAACTGGTCAAAGATGGCGTCAGCATACCACACTGCAGCCCGACTTGCCATTGGAGCTTACCGTACTACCCCTATAACAAACATTCTAGCTGAAGCCGGGTTACCTACCTTAGAAAACAGATTGCTTTACATCACCAAAAGCGATTACGAAATTGATCAATGCCGAAGGCTCTATTGTTAAAGCCGCACTAACAAACAAGCTACGCCGGAAAAGAAAAACCAGGAAAACCTCAGCCTTACAAACGCTGATCCTTGCTGCAAAGGAAATGAATGTTCTTTTAAATAATCCAGTGATCCCAAGACTTCGCGCTCCCCCTTGGAGTCTTATAAAAACGTGCGTTCAAAGGATCATAATAATGCGGCCTTCAGTGTCATTAAGGATAACTCTGTAATAATGTCAGCTATACTACCTCCTTTACCTTAGCAAAAAAGAGTAGACCTAAGCATCTCATCTTTAGTGATTCTTTATCGTCGCTCAAAGCCATACTAAACGTCAATTATGCTGATCCAACTGTTTCTCAAATTAGAGATATCCTCATCATCAATATTAGTAAAATTAAGTTATCAGGATACCCAGCCACATTGGTATACAAGGCAATACTCTAGCCGACTCCCAAGCCGAACCTGCGACAAGAGCTCCCTTAAAACTTATAAATTCCAACAATAAAAAAAATTAAAAACTTTGCTAAAAAGATCTATCGTGAGGCCGAAAATGAACACTGGAGCCAATACTCCCACTTTTACAAAATAATAAATCCTCAACGAAGATCGCCTCTTTTCCCTACACAACTATATTCAGAAGACTATTGTATTGTATATACTCGCTTTCGATTGGGTCACACCAAACTAACACACAAACATATATTGGAAATTTCCCAAACACCAGTTTGCCCATTTTGTAATACCGAGAATCTCACAACTCAACATTTAATACAAAACTGCACATCATGGGAACACAACCGTCTCAACTTAAACTTACTATTACTTAGATTTACTAACAAACGTAACACATACTAACATAAAACAGTTTATTAAATTTATATGTACGCTACATATCTATTTTGAAGTGTGATACTCCAAAATAATTCAACTATTGTTAAAATGTTAAGTCGTAATTGTATTATCCTTTTCAATAAAATAATACTAATAATAAGAAACGACTGGCGCTGGTGTTAACACGGCTATAATCGCGTAAGCGGTGTCTACGCTAGTAAAGAAGAAGAAGAAGAAAACTAGGTAGTGATCGAAAGGAACTCTCAAGTTAAATTATTCCAATCAAAATAATAAAATTAAGCATATAAATAAATTTGACATGGTAATAAGCATATAAGTGCTAAATCGGTTGAACTTTTTTATGTTAAATCGAATATACCCATAGACTTATATAGCAAAAAAGTTTATTCTTACTCCCATATTTGTTGCCTTTGTACTTTATATTAAATTGTTTTATTTTCCTCTAGAATTTCACAACCAACCTCTATTCTTTTGTATGTATACATACATACATATATGAAAGTATATCTATGCAACATTCTGGGTTCCATATAACAATTTGTGCACTGCCATTGTGGAGAGCAATTTTCACTATTGCATTGTTTCTGGAAATCATTTAGTTTCACATATGTTTTACTTTTTCTGGTCACTCTTTTTTCTGTTTAACTTCTCATGGGGAGCGGCAATTGTGAATTCAATTTCGCGTGCCTTTCAACTTGCTGTTTTATTGGTATTTAATTTGGGAAAGATCAATTCAATTACTGGGGTACCACATTTCTCAAATCATGGCATACCTGAAAAAGTTATTAAAGAGGGGAGTGAAAGACCCCCTGACAACGCAACAGTTGGTAAAATTGTTTATAGATGAGGATGAATTCTACATATAAAAAGTAAGACACATATATAATATGAACAAATGTAAGTGTAAACAAATGCAAGTCCTATCGAACCACTATAGCGTATAGCTGCCAATAAGACTGAACAATCAAAATCAAAATAAAGATCTTTGTTTTACCATGACCCTATTTGCTGAAGCTGAAGCTAAAGCTTTTTCTTATTTTTGTCCATTTTGGTTCGTTAATTATATTGAAAGCCGTGTTCACATTTGTAAGCTCCTGCTTACTTTTCATCACTATCTTTTATCTCACTTACCTGCATATTTAGTTATTAAATCCTTTTTATTTAGGCTTTTCATCCCCAATCTCTTGTTGTGGTAAGAATATCAATCAAAAAGTTGCACAATGAACATCTAGTCTGCAAAGATAAATAAAATCAATTAAAAGCAGTTGAAAGATGTTGTGGGTCCGCCTACAAGCAGACAAAGCGGTATGCAGCTGTGAGTAAACTCGGTTACAAAGTTTGCCACAAAAAACTTTGCCTATTTTCTATTTCTTCTTCCTTCTGAATACATCTTTAGCAGTGAACTCAAAGTCCCCATTTAATTGAAACATATCCCTTCAAGCGGTCTCCTCTCATCACTAAGTACTCTTGTGTGTTTTGAAGTAACTTGTCAACATGGCAGCATGAGCTCATCAATTTTACTAATGATCTCAGCCGCTTATTCGCTTCGCATCTGTATTATGCAAGGAAACAAATGCTTTTTCACCACTTTGCCCTGTAATCGAATTGAACGCTTTGATTTATCACCGCTGTGGTGAGCCATTGAAGCAGTGCAGCGATAAATATTCAAGATATTAACAGCTCCCGAGTAACCGTTGTATACGAAATTGTGACAAGTTATTTGGTTATAAGGAATGGTGATAAAATCCGTTGCTGGCGTTGCCAATGTACTCTCTTGAGCGACATATCTTTTTTGAAAATTTAATAGTACGATTAAATTTGGATTGGGTTTAGTACCGTTATATTTTTTGAGGAGAAATCCATTTATGTTAAACAGCAGGATTTAGGATGAAGAAATCATAAATGTTAATTAACAGAGGACGACCACACTATGGAAAGACACTCTTCAAATGCTTTAAAATTGTGGCATCTACTGGTATATATGTAAAAGAAATATAGTATATCAAGAAAGTTTACGACAGATTAACTCTGTCACATGTTTGGTGCGTTTATAGAAAAATACATTAGTTTATGAGGTCATGAGCAAAAAGGACGAAGGCCTTTTGACAGTTATTTTCGGTTACAACGTGGAGTGATGCAAGCCAGAGAATATTGCAGCAGAGAAGAAAAGAGATAGTGTTTTCTGGAATTAATTATATTCGGGCTCCGCAACACATGTGAAAATTTTCAATATGTTTATCACCTACAATGAAAATCCTAGTGCAAATGAAGCAAAAATAGTACTTGGACTTTATAAAAATATCTTTGCCATTTCTTTGTAGCATTCATATATGTATGTACTTATAGTTGCCTCATTTAAAGTAATAACAGGTGATACTTCGACCAATGAATCAATCAATTGAGATTTACAAGGTTGCTTAGATGGAGCACATGTCGAATGCAGCATCACATGAGCAAAGTTATTTTCACTAGAATTACTATATAATTTTTGGTTCAACTCAAGAAACCACGTATAGATAAAGTAAATTGCTTAAAAACGAGGATATATTTCAAAAATTCCTTGGTGTATGTGATATGGGACCGAAATGTACTTATTAGAGAAGATATACTTCTTTTCACGTATGTAGATCTGTAGACCCCACTTCACGCGTAATACAAAACTCAAACTTGGAGCAAGTATGCAGTTTTGTTGATATGGACCCCAAACTCAATTTTAATATTCATGCACCTTCCACGGTTTTTAAAGCTAAAGACGCTGTTAGTTTTGTTAAATGTTGGTCTAACGAATTTAGAGATTCGCTAATTACAAAAATTATTTTTACACCTTTGGTGAGGGAGGATGCTTCTATGGTTTGGAACCCTAGTTATCAAGGCCGTTCGGAGAAGTTAGAGTTTTTTACTATTATTGCAATTGCGCGCCCATAAGATAGGTCGTATCAGCTGACACGCGCCACGATTCTACGTTTTTGGCTGTTTCTGCTATAAAGAAAAGAAGAGGAGGAATCTTCAAAACTGCAATGCAACACAAAAATACAAGCGCCATACTTTCGAACAACCTTAATGCTTAACTAAAATATTATTGTGCAAGTTTCATATGGCAATAATTTGCACACATCTAGTAAGTACATTAAGAGAAATTGTAGACTGTTTTTACTCTTTTAGAGTTTTCACTTTGTTATATTTTTAATTTATTTCCAACGATTTCCAAGTGCCAATAAATGTCAGCTTCAGATGTTAAACAAAATTAATTAGCCAGATGGGGGAAGCACCTAAAAGCTTTGGTTGGTGCTAATTGACGGTAATGCATTTGTGCAAAGCACAACAGTTAAAATTGCACTGAGGCAGTCAAATAAATATGAGAGCGTTTGCATTATAAAAAAAAAAAAACATAAATTAATGTATTATTTTCTGTTATCTATAAATTTATACATTGTTTTCAAATATATGCATAATGAAAATACCTATGCTTAATGGAAAAGGTTGAATAATCCATGCGCCTGCCTACGAATGACAACTATGGCACAAATAAGCACTAAAATACTAAATAGTATGTCAGTCGATAATAGAAGTGTTAAAATCTATAAAATGTTGCAGTTGCCAGATGACCTAAAATAGAATGTGCTATTCAAGCCATTCTTATGTTTTATAGATTTAGATTTTACAATTTAATACTATTGAAAAGTGAATTCTTTATGTTGAATACATTATTGCAAATTAATTAAAATTTAAAGCCCATTGAAGGGTTAAGTTGTTTTAATTATAATTCAAATGAGCCCAAAATAACAGAATATGAATCAAAAGTTCATGGTATTTCATTTATATTGTTTTGTACTATAACGACTATTGTAGTCTTCAAAGGAGTCTTGAAAGCGGTGTGAAGGCTCTAATAGGTTTAAGCATGGAATTGAAGAAATTGGATTTCGACCTCTCAACTACGCCTACTTCCTATGTAACACTATTTTAAATACAATCGAATTTTTTGACTTGTCAGTATCTAAATCAAGAAGGATGATAAAACTATGCCCGAATAGTGCGTTAAAAGTAGGTCACCTAATGAATAAAAAAAAAATTATCGGACTGCAGCTGTTTAAGCTCGTAGATACCTAATAAGTGGGCCTCAGTTCCTATAGCGAACATTTTATAGAAAATCTGTAAATCTGTGAGATATTTTACAGAAATTCGGAGGAAATTTTTTCCTGATAACAGTTTTCCTTTAAGTCAAAACTGCTTCACTTAGCCCTCATAAACTTAATCAAAGTATTATCTCAATATGTGAGTTATCGTAGTGAAAACGAGAGATAGAAGTATGCTAATAACAGTGGATCTTTGTTAATATTTTTATATGCTAAATTTAATGCCAAATTAACATCTTTTGAAATGGATAGAAAAAGGCCACAAAATTTATTCATTTTAGAACAAACAAACGTTTCGTATTTTAAAAGAACTAGGTGTATGTAAACTTTATTGGTCCACGGTATAAGTTTTTCTGAGTTCTTTTAAATGGAATGACATCGTGATTGACCGAAGCAATTTTTCGATTACAACTAATTTTTTCAAAGAAATTTGTGGTAAAAATTATACCAAGAACAATACTGCTTTGTTTGCAACTTTGCCAAAAATTAATTTTTGTTTTCCACATCTTAATATTAATCTTATTTACTAACTGGTGAATTTTGATATTAGATTAATCCTTCATCTCTTAAACTGACCACCGGGAGGAGACGTTTTTGGATGGTAACAATGGCTGAATTTACAAAAATTGTGTACCCAAAATTCACAACATATTTTTGTTACTCCTTTGTATGATCCAAAGATGTAATAAATTAACTCATTTACTATACGCAAAAAATTATTTGTGAAATCGGCCGTCAAAACCAACTCTCTTAATCTCTTAATGAATCTCAAATCATCTAAGAGTAGATAAAATCGGCTCATTAATATTTATATATAAACATAGTATAAGTGCTGCTCTATTCCTCTTGATGCTCTGATGATAAGTTTTTACGGCTTACTACAGCCGTGTCATCCACGAAAGTGGATGTCAAAACGTTAGTAGCTGTTGGAATATCTGCGTTATATATTATGTACAGACTTGTACCCTGAGGTACAGCAGCCATTATTATACTCGTTCTTCTGATATGAAGTCTACTCTTTAGCTGTAAATTTCCTGTTACTTAAATATGACTGCCATTTCCATAAAAGGACGTCATGCCAGATCTTATTGAACGCTTGAGGTACATCTAGAAAAATAGCTGAACAGTACTCCCTGTGCTCGAATGCTTTCCTGAATTTGTCTGTAATTCTATTTACTTGCTCTACAGTGAAAACCGAATTGGTGCGTTGAATTATATTATTTTCTTGGAGGAAATTAGTCATCTTTGATAGCAACACTTTTTCAAATATATTACAAATACAGGGTAAGAGACTATCGGTCTGTACTAAGACGGCTATATTAGGTTTTTACCAGGTTTATTTATTATTATGATCTGCGACTTTTACCATGAAATTGGATAGTAACCGAAACCAATAATCGACTTAACTGCCATTCACGTCTAGCTCGCCTTTTATCCTTTACAAGTTTCTTTATTTCATTGTTGGTCATGTTTCTAAAACCAACTGGTTTATTGTATCTTTCTGGTGTTGCCAATACAGCTGCATTAGTTATTACATCAATAAATTCTCTTATATTTTTATCATTGTCTCTTCCTGTAATTATTTTCCAATTAATATTGATGTGGCTGCTGATATATTTTCTATGCATCAACCAGTTTATTTTATGTGATGTTAGAGAAACTTTTGGCTCAAATATTATGGGCTATTCGCATAACTTTATTAGTACAGAAGAATGAGCAGATGATAGGTCTGTACATGTATAAGCTGTCATAAGCGATCTATCTATATTTTTGACTACAGCAAAATTTATTAAGTCTGGTATTTTTTCTAGCACTCGGCCAGTATGTCGGCTTACCAGGAGATAATATTTCCAGGTTATTATGCTAATTCATAATGTACAGCTGTCATCCTTTCTTATTAATAAGCCCCAGTACGTTTGTTTTCCATTGTAATCTCCACCTGATAGAAATCTATGAGCTAATGTAAAGGAGGTGAACAGTATCTAGCAGAAAGGTTTACGTCACAACGATTTTTTTTAGTGATATGATGATAATGATAGAGCTTTAGCTTTTAACTGTGCTGTAGCATGAGATTCTAGAGAATAGTGGTTTAAACTATTT